ACTCTACTATCCAGGAGGATCCAGGCCTTGTGTCCATTGAAACATGGCAACTATTCCTTGTTTTCTTCTATCTGAATGAATTTAGCATTTGAGGTGCATGAGGTATCTTCAATATTGTTCACCTTGGCTTTTGGTGAACTTCTGCATTCACGAGTGATGTGTCTTTCCTTGCTACAGTTGTAACAGATAATAGTTCTTCTTTCAGTGTTGTTGTTCCTTCTAGAGTATTGAGTGTGGTTATTGTGATTGTGGTTATGTCATCAGATTTCAGCTTGGTCCAATTCAGTAGGATTGTTCCCTCTATAGCAGTTGTTGTTGACTGGTGGTCTTCTTGCAGTGTTTCTTCCATTGGCAAATTTCTATAAATCATCCAATATTTCGTGCACTTGGTAACTTACTTTCATGTGTATTGCAGACTTTAGACCATCAATGAAATAGGCAACTTTATCCAACTGTCTCTTGGTATTAATTTGGCTTACTATATTTCTGAACTGGGTGGAGTACTCTTGACGATTCCTGTTTGATGCAAGTGTTTCAACTGGATGCACAGATATAGCTGGTAGTGAGGAGACTGGAAGGCATTCTTGAGCTCCTTCTTGAATTCATTTCAGAAGGGGAAGACAGGTGAAGTGGAATCCTTGACCTTGTTAACAAACCAGTATAGGACAGCATCTTCAAATCCTGTAGCGGTGTAGTGAATCATTTGTTTTTTCTTAGTGACTCCTTGGGCTCTCAAGATATTCTTTGTTTGGCACAACCAAACCTCAACATTTTTTCCTGATTCTCCTTTGAAGATGGGAATTCTCAATATGATCTTGGGTACAGTGGTTAAAAAGGAAAAGGAACCACTTGTGACAGTCTTCTCTTTGTTCTTGTCTTCTTTTATTTCTTTAATTATAGTAGCCATGATATTGTTAAGCTGTTGCATAAAGTGTGTGAATTGTTTGGTATTTATTTTAATAAAGTTTCAGATGTGTATATGTGTGGCAAGGAGGGGAATGTCTTGTTAGTCCACTGTTACTAAGTTGTAAAAGACTTGAAATGAATGTATCAGAGTCAGTGAATTCTTAGGCAATGAGTTTAATGCACAAAGAGTTATCTTTATTAAGGTCAAGAAGTAGCCTTTTTATACATTTTAAAGTAGTGCATAATAAATATAAAATATATAGGGCTAAAAAATATATAAATCATATGGCTTATGGTCTGAACAACTTATATAATATATAGCTAATCATAAATGGAAAATAAGAGGAAAAAATAAAATAAAAAGAAATGATTGGTGCATTATTCACCATAGTCTGATAGTCAATTACTATTTATGGTGAACAAGTTCAGATAATCTATGTGGTGTGGTTGTGATGTCATCTTGGTATCATAATGTCGACTCGGTAATCTCAGCAGTCTTGGAAGTCTCAGCGAAAGTGGGGTAATAGGCTCAGATTATTACAGTGATCTTGTTTAAGGCTCTGTAATCTATACAGGGGTACAATGTTCTTTCCTTTTTATACACAAAAAGCACAGGATCACTAAATGAGAAGGCACTGGGTTTAATAAATTCTTTAACAAGGAGGTTGACAAGTTGTTTCTTGAGTTCATCCATCTTCACATATGAGAGGTGGTAGATAGGTTTGGAGGGTGGTTTAGCTTCAAGAGAAAATATATCAGCAAATTTCTTGATGACAGAGCTTCTTAAGCAGCAAACTTGATTTTCTTGGATATAACTTTCTTAGCAGTGATAATACAGATAGCTAATAGTTCTTCAATAGATGGAATTCTTGTAAATTAATGTCTGGAGATAAAAAGAGATTGACATTCAAGTTCTTGCTTTGTTTTGCATGGACTAGCATTGACAGTAATAGTGTATGGTTCATATTGAAAGGTGAGGGTGTTGCTTCTCCAATTGATATTAGAATTGACATGATACAACCAGGGCTTCCCAAATATGGTATTATATATTTGCAGGCTCAAAACTTGAGTGGAAATTCCAGTGGTGCAGTAAGTATTTAATTCTAGTTGCTTGATATTGACTTCAGTAGTGACTTTCTTTTTTATTCTATCAACAAGTTCTATGGTGAATAGAGTAATGTTCTTTTCTTTGATGCTATACTATCCAGGAGAATCCAGGCTTTATATCCATTAATTTTTCCATTGAAATGTAGCAGCTGTTTCTTGTTTTCTTCTATTTGAATGAATTTAGCTCTAAAGTATGTGAGATATTTTCAATATTATTCACCTTGGCTTTTGGTGGGCTTCTGCATTTGCAAGTAATATATCCTTTCTTCCTATTATTGTAATAGATAATAATTCTTCTTTCAGCATTGTTGATTCTTCTAGGATATTGGGTGTAATTATTGTGATTTTTTTGGGGGGGATAACTGGGTCATCCTATGCCTTCTTCAATACTTTATTAATAAAAGATCATATTCAGGGACAATTGGAATTAATACTTTCCCATACTGTCTAAGGATTTACAGATTACTAGAGAGAAATAGAACAAAGTGTTACTATTTATACAACTCGATCTATGTTTAACCTAACCAGAATAAGAAAAATATATTACTACCTAGTGTAAATACTCTCTTTTAAAAACAACATAGGGATAAGTCAGATACACATAGTTATGCATTGCTGAACACATCTCTTAATCAAGAGTTAGCATTATATAGAATGCACTAATTTACCCACCGATCAGCTTGTTGCCACCCACTAGTGGGGCCTAACATATCAGGACTTGCTCAAGATTTCCAGCACTATCCAATGCTGGGGATCCCTTGTACTAGTCGAAGACTAGTCAATGTTGAAATAAAAGAAAAAAAAAAAAAAAGAGGAAAAAGGTGTACTAAAGAAGTCTTAAGACTCTTAGTTTCCCAAGAGACTTAATCGACTATGGTATTTATATATATACTGATTGGTGAAGTGGTGTTTATTAGATGATAGAGTGTATTATTGCCAATGTCTTGAAGTGGGCTGTGTGCACATCTTTTCCTGGATGTGTTGGGGACTGTGCTGAGATTGTCAGTGTCTTCAATATTGTAGGTCTTTGGTTCTTCTGATTCATCAACAGTGTAATAGAGGTCTTGTATGTCTGTTTCTAGGTCATCTATATGTTGATTAATCCATGTTAGATCTTGTTTGATAAAGTTGACTTCATTGCATAGGTGTTGGGGGATGTTGTAAATATCTTTGAGTATTGCGTCATCCTTTTGTTTGTTGTTGGTATTTGTGTCTTTAGTTGTTACTTCATGTTTTTGCATTCTGACAATGTTTGCAAATGAAGGTTTGTTGTAGGTGTTGAAGTGGTAGTAGTGGGAGTCTTGATTACTCCACTTTTTGCTGATCTGAACTTGGTGTAAAGGTGTTCAAACTTCTTTACATTTTGTTTCTTTATTTCTTGTGTCTTTTGTTGTTTCAAATTGATAGTACAGTCTTTGAGCCTGTGGTTTGTGCTGAAGCAGATGTTGCAGATTTTCATGGAAATATTTACCCAAACTAGTTGTGTTGTATCTAGATAGGCTGATGTGTGTGCTACTTATTGTAATTATTCTTCATTCGTGAAGCACAAGATGGTGAACCTTTTTTTGTTGTATTGTTATATTCTAGGAATGTAGCATGATGTTTTTCAAGTCATGGCCAGTGGTACCAGGTGGTAAGTTTGTAAGCCTTAAAGCATAAACATTCTTTTCTTTGTTAATTTGGTTTGTGTTTAGAAAGGAAAAGATTCTGATTAGATCATCTCTAAACAGAATTGTCTATCTTTTACTAATTTGATCAGAATCTTGTTGTTGGTGATATTCAATATTTGTTGATTGCCACATGCTGATTGTTTGCATTTTTATGGCTTTAATTTCTCCAAATTTGATAAAAGCTGCATAAATATCTGCCCATAATATGTTTAGAGGAATGTCCCATACTCATCAATTTTAATATGTTTAGCTTTTTTGACATCTGAATCTGTCCCAAAAAGTGCTGGTTTAATAAAGCCTTGATTGAATTTGTTCAGTCGAATAGAGATGAAGAATTCCAGGCATGAGAGTGATTTTTGGATAATTTGAAGTTTTTTTTTGTTGTTTTTTTCAGGTACTTTGTTTATTGCAATGGTCATTTAAATTGCTTTCTTCCATACATTGTAGTCAGTCGGTTAAATCTTGATTGTGTTGAGGATAAGATTGTACTTTTTCAATATTTGGTTCAAGTTCCATTTGTGATGTGTTTTGACTTGTTTGTGTATTTTCAAACCAGTCATCAAAAAAGTTATTGTCTGTATTAAACCCATGTGAAGATGATGGCATGTTATCTGGTATTTGTTTATGAGTGTTTGTTTTGATATTTAGTTTGTTTTTGAAGTTAAGTTTTGAGATGTTTTGAAAGGGAGTTTGGGATTCTTTTAACTCCATATTTTGTGTTTTGTTTGTTGTTGTTCTGTTTGAACTATTGGCTCTAGAGTCTTGTATTTGTCTTGATCTGATCGAGGAAACTTTTGAGGACATGTTATATTGACAAAACTTTATGCTTTGGATCTATTTTTGCGTAAAGAAGAAAATTTCCAAAAAAGGAAGTTTTCAAAAATCTGATTAATATGAAAAAGAGTTTTTTTTTTGGTGTGATTATATCATCAAGTTTTAGTTGATCCAATTCAGCAAGGCAGTTCTCTCAATTATGGTTATTGTTAACTGGTGGTCTTCTTACATTGTTCTTGTATTGTCAGACTTTTCAACTCCAAACATGGCAGTGTCATACCTGATTGCTAATTTTTATGTATCATCCAATGTTTCGGGAGCTTGATAACTTATTTCCATGTGTGTTGAAGGCTTTAGGCCATCAATGAAATAGGCAACTGGATCCAATTGTCCCATGTTATCAATTTGACTTACTATGTTCCTGAACTGGGTGGAGTACTCTTGGATGGTTCTTATTTAATATAGGTATTTCAATTGTGTACACATATACTGCCAGTAATAAAGAGGCTGGAAGGCATTCTTGAGTTTCTTTTTGAATTCATTCTAAGAGAAAAAGATAGATGAAGTGGAATCTTTAACCTTGTTAACAAACCAGTATAGGGTAGTATCTTCAAATCCTATGGCAGTATAGTGAATTATTTGTCCTTTTTCAGTCACTTCTTGGGCTCTTAAGATATTCTTTATTTGGTGCAGCCAAATCTCAACATCTTCTCCTAGTTCTTCTTTGAAGGTGGGAATTCTTAATATGATCATTGAAACGATAGTTGTATAGGAAAAGGAATCACCTGTGGCAGTCTTTTCTTTGCCCTTGATTTCCTTTATTCCCTTGATCATAGTAGCCATGATGTTGTTAAACTGTTGCATAAAGTGTACAAATTGTTCGTTATTTATTTTGACAGAGTTTCAGATTTATATATGTGTAGCAAAGGAAGGATATCTTGTTAATCCACTGCTATCAAGTTGTAAAAAACTTGAAATAGATGTATTAAAGTCAATGAATTCTTAGGCAATGAGTTTAATATACAAAAGAGTTATCTTTATTAAGGTCAAGAAGCAGTCTTTTTATTTTTATTTTATTTTTTTTTTTAATGCCAGCTCAACCTTTACTTTATTAGATATAATTTTTAAATGTCAGTATAATACATATTAAAAAATATAATTGTAAATCTAAAAAGCTGCGATATAACTATACTGGTCAACCTCGGGTATGTTGCTGTCTCTGAAGTGAGAACTAGTGAAGGGCCACTAGTGCTAAAAAAATTTTTATAGGGGGGAAGAAGGAAGATCAGAAAATAAATAAGTGGATGGGATGATTAATCTATATATACAATTTCTTGCTGTGTGACTTTTTCAGGGAGAAGAAAATTTCATTCAGAATATTCATTAAAACCCTTTAGGTAGTGCCAAATACCTATTAATATATGATAGTGGAAACACCAGTGCATGTTTGATTATATTTCAGATCCCTCAATAATTTTTGCACAATATCAGTTGTGTTTCAGATGCCTTTACCTAGGTTTTTGAAAAATGCGGGAATCTCAGCTATTGCCTTTGGTAGCCGACTTGTGCTTCCTTGTGAAAGCTTCCAAAACATCAGTGCGGATTATACACGAGAGTAAGATACTAATGCTCAATAGGAAGGGGAAGTCTTTAATATAACTACTAAGTCACTTTCTCGGAGAGATATAGGGGAAGGGGAGGTAGGTTCAATCTCATTTAGAAATGAGAAGAGGTTGGGATAGGTGCATATGTATTGATACCAGTAGGCCAATCCACAGGCCATTTTCATTGATCCTTATCGTGTGCCGGTGCAGTAAAGGCCACTATTCATACACGTCATTCTCTGTGTCCTTAAAAGCCGAGCCAAGAAATAGATAGAGAAACCAGTGTCCTATCTTCGAATCTTTACTTATTCGACGGAGCTGAAAAGAGAACCTACTCAGTAGCCAGGAGTAGGTGACTACAACCATAAAACCTAGTTGTAGTATTTTGTGACCTTTACTATAGTCAGACAGATTCTTTTTTGAGAGAACCAATAATGTAAATAGAGGAGTGTCCTGTATCCACCCGCACCTAGCCAATGACTTATGGTAGACCCCAGGTTCTTATGGAGCTGAAGAAATGCATTCAGACACGTGAGGTGATCAATAGGAGCTTGTTTATATTCTTTTACTAATGTGAGCTCTATTTGTCCAATCACGGTATGAGAAACTTTGTACTACTTAAAATTCAGGGTCAAACTGAGGTAGGCAAAATTTCTCAGAAAAAATCAAGAATGAGCACTATGAGAAGTTAGACAAATGATAAGAGAGTGGAAAAGTTGTCTCTCATCATAACAGAACTTCTGTATTGTTCCTCTACAGTATGAGATGACGGCACATTAGTTTTTCTTCCTTTCATAACTTTCTTGCCATTGGTAGGAAAGGTTTTGCTTGACCTTTATGGTCACTAGAGATCAAGTTTTTGTTTGAAGAGGATAGTAAGCAAGAGAAAAGGGGTTAGTTGATGACTCTTGAAGTTTCTTCAAGTTGGTTTAAGGAGAGTAATAAGACTTTATTAGCTTAGAAGTATAAAAACTTCTAGCGAACGTCTTTTTTGTGTGTCATCAGAAGATCAGTAGAAAGAGTTCCCTTGAAACAGTCTTTTTATACATTTTAGAGTAGCACAAAATAAATATAAAATACATAGGGCTAAAAATATATAAATTATATGACTTATAGTCTGGACAACTTATGTAATATACAGCTAATCATAAATGAAAAATAAAAGAAAAGAAATAAAATAAAAAGAAATGTTGGTAACTTATTCATTATAGTCTAATAGTCAATTACTATTTATAGTAAACAAGTCCTGATAATCTATATAGTGTGATTGTGATATCATCTTAATATCATGATATCAACTTAACAATCTCAACAGTTTTGGCAAAAGTAGAGTGATAGGCTCAGATTGTTATATTATAATTATAGTCAACAAGGCTTTTATTTAATTTTTTTTTTTTTTTAACTCACAATCATGTTGAAATGGTGTGTCTTTATTGAGATTTTGGGAAATAACTAAATATTTTACAGACTTTCACAAAGTGACTAACTTGTCATTGTATATTATTAGTTAAAGGACTATACTATTTAAAAAATATGAGGAGTCCACTAAGCTAGTTTGGACTAAACAAAACTAAGTCTAAACTAGGTACTCTAAGTCAGATTTAGGGAACAATATTTCTCTCTCCTAGTAGCTTAGCAATAGTGCCTCTAAGTCTCTAGAATTATTGCCAACAGTTTGTCACTGTTGATTATCCCAAAAAATGATGAATTGCTAAAGTTTATACTGGGAAAAGAGAAAGGGAAAATAAAATTCAAAGCCCTCCAAAAGGTTCTTGCTCCCTTTCATAGTTTTCTCTCAAAAGGAGTTTGCCTGATTGGGATATTCTTTAAGCTTCATGACGTTTGAGAAACTTAGTCATTCCTGAAAGTGACTTCAAAAAGAATATTTGAGAAACTTATCCTTCTACTGATATATGGATTTGGTTATCACTAGTGAGGTCAGTACCATATTATAGAAGAGTTTGCCTGAGTGGGATAAAGAAATCTTTTCAAGAACTTGAAAACCTTAGCTTTTGTTCAAGAAAGCCTTTTCACTACCTGAGGAACTTAATGAAAGATGGGAGTTGGATCTTCTATTCCTATCCATCACTTACCTTTTGATATCATAATTGTTTCCTAGAGATTAAACATATATGATTGGAGGGTACTTTTTTTTGTAGAACTTTCTTTCTTACATTATCAATAATATATTGAGACAAGTGAGTATGACCAATAGTAGCTTGTTTATATTCCAAAAACTAATATGTTTCATGTCAGCTAATTACCTTTGGTGAGAATTTGTGCTACCCAAAATTCAGGATCAAAATGAGATAGGCAAAATTCCTTAGAAAACTGTAAATATGGGAGCTTTAAGAGGGCCAAGATAGTCAAAAAGTAAGAAAATATCCTTTTTACTATTGAAAATCTCTATAAACCTCTTACTTCAAAGGTTAAAAAGACCTTCAAGTACTTCACAGTCAGTTCTTCTTCCTTTGAGAACTTTTTTGCCATTGGTATCAAAGGTACTACTTGACTTTTCTTAATCACTAGAAGTCAAATTTTTGAGTGAAGAGATTTGTAAACAATAGGGGAAGGGTAGAAGCGATTCTTGAAGTCATACTTCAAGTTGTTTTAAGGAAAGTATTAAGACTTTATTAGCAAAGAAGTACAAAAACTTCTTGTGAACATCTTTTTTATATGTGGTCAGAGGATCAGTGAAAAGAGTATTTTTTTTTTTTAACTGGCTCATCCTTGTTTTATTTGTGAGAAAGATTCATTGTGTATATATTATTATTATTTACAATTTTTATGTCTTTCTAAAATACAAATTCAACTATCTAAAGATGGATTTATCCTTCTTACCGATCGGCTTGTTGCCACCCACTGTGGTGCTTAACATGCCAAGGATGACTAATTAGTGTTGAAATTAGAAGAGAAGGAAAAGGAAAAAATTGTGAAAGGGTTTGTGATTCCTTTAAATGATCAATATATATAGCGATTAACCAGGTCTATGTATTGATCTTTGATTAGTAGTTCAGATAATATGGTATTTGGTGGTGGTTGTACTTGAGTATGGCTTTTAGAATGTTTATCTTTTTTGATAATGTTGTTTGTCATTTCCTATTCTACAGTGTGTTTACATCGCTCCTTCCATATTGAGTATATGAATTTTCTATATTGATTCATACACTTTTGAAGTATAGATTGTAATGTCATATGTAAGCCAATATAGTTGTTGATTGCAAGGGTGATGTTTTTTCTGATGATGCCTTTGATGAGATCTAAGATCACTTGGTCAAATTTGTTAAAAGACATGTTCCTTATTATGTGATAGAGAGGAGGAGTGGTAACAGATGCTTTGCAGTCTTTCATACTAAGTGTAAAGATGCTTATTAGTTTTCACCTGTGTGTTTCCCATGTTGTAATGCATAAGAAGGCATGGGAGGTAGTTTCTGTTTCATGATATTTAGTGCACTCTTTGTTTCTATATATGTGTGGTTTGCATCAGTTCAATTTGGTCATAGTCTATACCCTTTATTGAATGTATTTTTCGCAGATATACATTTACAATATGTCATATATACTTTGATTTACATAATTCAATGTAAACTATATAAGCTATTTACAGTAAGTAGACAACTATACTACATATCATATATATGATCACCTTATACCTGTGCCAGTGTGATATAGTTAGGATATATGACGCTCTCTTAATTTTTCCCAAATCACTTTTATAGAATAGTTTGGTTATCAAACTGTTGCGTATGCTCTAACCTGTATCAGAGATTTTAGATACTTCGGTGTGGTGTGCGAGTTTCCTCTTCCACCAAGGTTTCCTGATGATCTGCATTACCCAAATTTGCCCATGCTTTTAAGCATCCCACTGGTGTAAGATCTACTCTTCTTTCAGAATTTCTAGTTCTTTAAGCTCGGAATCTGTTCTTGATCGGTTAAGGATCCACAAACTCAACAAGCACGAATCAGGTTTTACTGGTTGCATTCTCTACCACATCAGGTTTATAATGTAGGAGCATGGCACTGTATCACCTACTTATAGACCTGCCTGATCAGGGTAATGATCAGCTATGAGTAACACCAGATTACCAGATTATGCCGACAGATTACCTGTCTTCAACAAGGATTGGCATAATTTTAATTTTGCCGCTT